TACAACACTTCCGCCTGACTTTCCTGGATGAATGAGTTATCAGTTATCAGGTTTTTCGACAAGTCAATTTTCAGTAACCGTCACAGGTGGATCCTGGTTATCGTTCGGGGTGAAAGAGTTATAAGTTGCGATAAGTTACATTCAGTAACTCACGAGGTGGTCCCTGGATACCGTCCCGGGTGAATGAGTTATCGAGGCCCTTGGGGGTTATACCCAGGGTGCATGGCTTATAAACATTACCCGACCCCACAGGCAGTTGGGTTATCCCTCAAGGGTGAATGGCTTATACCAATTCAACACCCAACAGGCAATTTGGGTATACCCCGGGTGGATGGGCCTTATAACATTATAACCCACCACAGGCAGTTGGGGTTATACCCCAGGGTGAATGGCTTATTAACTTACACCCCTACAGGGCGGTGGGTTCATACGGCCCCACTCCCCTCCAACCTTTACGCGGTAATCAGTTACAGTTCAATCAATTAATCTAATACTTACTACTACTATCCTCATCCAATTCTTGAATAACTCACCGTGGTCCTGGTATAGTTCGTGGGTGATGAGTTATCAAGTTTCGATCCAAAGTACAATTCAGTAATCACAGGTGGGTCCTAGTATCGTTCGGGTGAATTGAGTTATGAACAAGTTTCGATCATACTCTTCAAGTACTCACAGTGGTCTTGGTATACGGTTCGGGGTGATGGTTATACAGTTTCGTCAATGTACAATTGAGTCTCCAGGTGGTCTGGTTACGTTCGGGTGAGAGTTATAACAAGTTTGAATCAGTTCAAATTCAGTACTCACGGTGGTCTGGTATACGTTCGGGTGAATGAGTATACAGTTTTCGATAGTCGTATTCAGTAACCACAGGTGGTCCTGGTTAATACGGTTCGGGTGAATGAGTTATACAGGCACTTAGGTTATACCCAGGGTGATGGTTATAACATTCAACGGACCCACAGCACTTGGGTTATACCCCAGGTGAATGGCTTATACAATTACAACGCCACAGCATTGGTTATTACCCCAGGGTGAATGGCTTATAAATATAACACCCCCAAGGCAGTTGGGGTTATAACCCCAGGGTGAATGGCTTATAACATTCAACCCCCTACAGGCAGGTGGGTTATACCCAGGCCCCCCCCCTCCACTCCCCCCTCGCCCTTAACCGCGGTAATCAGATATACAGTTTCAATCAATTACTCTACTAACTTACTAACTACTCCTCATCCCAATTACTATTGACTACTCCAGGTGGTACGGGTATACGTCGTGGGGTGAATGAGTTATCAGTTTCCGATTCAAGGGTCTATTGCGTACTCACAGGTGATCCTGGTATACGTTCGGGTAATGAGTTATACAGTTTCGATCAAGTACAAATTTAGTACTCACAGGTGGTCTGGTATACGTTGTCGGGTGAATGGAGTTATACAGTTCGATCAGTACAATTGAGTAACTCGCACCAGGTGTCCTGGTTCGTTCGGGTGATGATTATACAGTTTCGATCGTTCAATTCAGTAACTCAACAGGTGGTCCTGGTATCGTTGGGTGAATGAGTTTACAGTTGCGATCAAGTACTTTCAGTACTCCGAGGTGGTCCCTGGTTACGGTTCCGGGTGAATGAGGTTTATACAGGCACTTGGGTTATACCCCAAGGGTGAATGGTTATAACATTACACGTACCCACAGGCACTTGGGTTATACCCAGGGTGAATGGCTTATACCAAATTACAAACACCCAACAGGGCTGTTCTGCCTACCCATAAGCCCCCCTCCTCTCAATCAATTTCCTCTTGACTGCCTATTTTTTTTATTTTACTATACTTACTTGTTTGCCTGTCCTTTTTTGTCTACCCTCCCTCATATTGTAAAGCGTCTTTGAGTTGTGAAAAGCGCTATATAAATAAAATGCATTATTATTATTATTATAATATTCAAAATGTAGCTTTGCTAAGTATATTGCAACTTTTTCTGTGTATTGTTATTTGCAAAATAAATGTTTTATAGGGGTATACAGTAAAAGTAATGTATTCTTCTTTCCTTCACAGACGTTTGAAGTACACCCAGACAAAATGATCAGCGTGGCTCACATGGCGTGTGCCGGTGGAGGGGTGTGGATGGCATTCTCCGAGGGTTCTTCCATTCGTCTCTTTCATACTGAAACACTGGAGCTTCTGCAGGAAATCAACATCTCCACACGCTCAACGCTGCTGAACACCGGTACACACACACATCACACTTTGTCATCTCTACCTCCATATAGAGAGGTCAACCTCTACCCTGCAGAGCAGCTCAAACACTTTTTATACAACATAAAATTGTTTAGCTTTAAAACTGCACCACAACATTTAATTTCCTCTGAACTTGGAACATTATTTTTTATTATGTTAGAGCAATAAGAGGGCCCCAGTTTAAAGAGGACATATACCTATTTTCAGGTTCTTATTTGTATTTTGTGACTCTACTACGACAGGTTTCCATGTTTTAATGATCAAAAAGCTCTTTATTTTTCTCATACTGCCTGTGCTGCAGCACCTCTTTTCACCCTCTGTTTGAAACCAGAGCCTAGTCTGCTCTGATTAGTTAGCTGGCTGGCTCTGTTGTGATTGGTCAACCACTTAGAGATGTTCCACTCCTTAAGCTGCATTCACGATACGCATTTGCTCTTTGCTGACCGCAAGTTTAGGCTCAGAGTCTTGCGGTGAAAACAGCTAGTTTTGTTGCTATGGTTACATCCCCGGCTAGCTTGCGCAGCTATGTATAGCTGTCTGTGATTAGCTGCGCGTCTGAAGGTAGTTCTTCCTCCTTGCCGGGCACCACCGCTCTCTCCATAGAAATGCAACAACAGCACAGAACTGTTGAACCATTTATCATGTGAATTCAGCTTTAGCCCTACAATGTGTTGGAGAGCTAGCCAATAGAAGCCAGAGTGTAACATAATGATGTCATATGTTAAGGAAGTAACCAAGGGGTTTCGATGTAAGTTCAGGTATGTGGGAGAGAAACTCCCTTTGTGGGGAACTTTTGGATTTTAGCCTTTGCAGACCTTTTCATGCACAAAAACCTATAAAACACCACAGAAAAGAGAAAATCCCCCCAAAACATAGTAGGACCCCTTTAACATTGGGGATGCTGTTCTCTCCAGAACAGTATTCCTGTCTTGTCCATGTTGCTCCTTGGGTCTTGCACTCCAGGGACTGACCTGAATATATATCCTCCTCAGGCCTTCACAGAGCCATAATAGAGCCATGGGATGAGACATAGTGATTAATACAAAAAGAAAAAAGGTAATTTAGGAGCAGTAAAATGGCAGCCTTGAAGATTTTCATACTAAAGGTTCCCATGGAAACGCTCTTGTCTTTCTTTAAACGTCTGTGCTTCTGTGGTATTATGCCAGTTTTACCTCTTTTTCTCAGCATGTACCTCCCCTCTTTCATCCCTTGTGAGTTCATATTTTCCTTTCTTTTTGTCCCACTTTCTCCCTCTCACTGCCCGTATTATCTCATCCGCTCTGCTTTAAAGTCCTCTCACCCTCCAGTCCTCTCTTTCAGTCTGTTTAGGAAGCCAGATATACTCTTATGACTTCCTGTGTGCCTTCCTTTATGATGGGTGAAATATTTATCAGCTAGTGTGGGTGTTTTTTTAATATATTTTCAGGAAAGAAGCATGGTAAACAAATTAGATGGCAATGAAGCGTACCCAAAACTGCAAAGCATGATAACTGCAGCACATGTGACTCAATGTGTAAATGTGTTGCCTCAAACATGTCCTGGCTGTGACAAGTGGGCCATCAGCTCACTCACTACATGTGAATATAATTTTGAGCTTCAGGGAGTGATAAACGCATCTGGATTTAAACAATTTTGTCCTTTTGGTTGAGTCACACCAGGCTGTGATTGATGTATTTAGAGCAATACTCATGGCTGTGGTAGCATCAGAATAAAAAAAACTAGGCGTTCTCTAGTGAGTTGAGTAAAGAGCAAAGAATAAAAAGCAGCAATGGGTTTCAAGCACGAAACTTTAAGATCAAAGTTTTTTTTTGCTTTTTTTTTTGGGGAGACTTAAAGGAGAGCAGGCTCCTATGGTACTTGTATCAGGAGGAAAACCGTGACCCAGAGGTCATTTTCACCCAGCTTCAGTGCTTCCCCTTGAAATATGCAGCGGATTTGAGAAAGGGTGGCAGCCTCAAAGCCTCGGCCCTGGGGGAAGTTACAGGGTGAAAAGAAAAAGAGTTGTTCGGATCATGTCTTCAGGGTCCACAAAAGGAAGAGGATCTTTGACTTAAGTTGTGATTTGTTGAGCTCACAAGAGAAAAGAGGATCCCCCCCGACACCCTACAACCGCAGATGAAATACTGATTGTTCCTCTCTATCAATGGGGTCTCTGCTCCCGTAGGTTTCTCCTTGACTTATGCTAGGACATGCAGTAATGATATACCCCCTAATCCTTTCTCCTTAATGTGATTTATGCTCAACAGGGAATCCACTTACGTAAACAACAGAGAAGTTTCTGAGGCAGAGGAAAGTGCTGATCTCTTCTCTTTTAATGCCTTTAATAGTTCTTTCCTTAGGGGGAAAAATAATATCCCAAAATAAAGTCCTCAGTGACATATCACAGGGAAACATTAATCTTTGGAGACATCTTCTTTTTAAAGCAAATACCAGCTTCTTCGATAAACCCGCTACACACGGTGTGCATTACTGCGAGAATTGGAGGTGCACGATAGCTCGAGGTTAAGCTATACCTCCTTAATCTCAAGTGCCTTTGTCATTATCCGTCTTTATCACTGTTCTTATAGACAATGCCTGGCGCCAACATCTTCTGAATTCAGATTTCATGGCGTCACTTAAACTCTTTACGAACAGACTCCAAGGGCGATGTGAGCAGGTGGCAGACAGTTTTGAGATACATGCAGTTTTTTTTCTTGTCAAAGCCTCACCCACTGCTGTGACCCTCCAAGGTCTCCCCCTAAAGGCTCACTGTTTGCTGAATGAGAAATCAGAAACACAGCGGGGACAATTTAAATGGTTACAGCAAATGGACAGTGCAGATAAAAGACTAAGACTAATATATTAAAGGGGACCTATCATGCAAAATGCACTTTTGTACGTCTTTTATACATGAATATGTGTCCCCGGTGTGTCAGGAAACTCACCAAAGAGGTTTCTCAATTCTTAAATGTCCCCTCCTCGACTCCTATCCTCGATACTTAGTCCCGCCCACAGGAGATGCGAGCGGAGGACTGAGGAGGGGAACCGAGGAGAGAGGAGGGGATGCAGCAGGCGGTTAGAGAAATGAGAACTCCTCTCCTCTGAGCGGTCATTTTAAAGAGACGTCCATCAATGATGACAGGAGGCACAGCAGCCCTCTGTCTGATGGACAGATGTGTTCATGACGACTTTATCCCCCCCCCCCCCC